CCAGGGGCTCAGGTGTTCCTTGGGCTCTGCAAGCCCTTGGAAGCTAGAGCAGGCTACCCCCTCAAATGCTGCAGAAAATCCACTGAAAATGAAGCCCTGCTGAGGAAAACGTAGGAAGGCCATCAGAGTCTCTTACCTTCGATTCCTTCTTCTTGATTTTCTGAGGTAGACACGGTCTCTGAAGAAAGACAATTTGCTTGGTGGATACACTCCCCTCACTGTAACACACGGAGCTGAGAATGAGCCACTTTATGCCTTAGAGGAACCCAAAACCTGATGCAGATGTTGCCATCCCTAATTTCATCAAAGCAGACCACCCACGGGATTATGACAAGTCAAGAGGCGCCTGCTCTACTCTCCCGTGCCCAGGCCATCCAGCCTTGCTTCCAAGGGGCTACCTCGGATGCCCAACAAAAGCTTTTTGGGTATCCCTACAAAGTGAGCTTCCTAGCTGGACATGCCCATTCCCTTAATGGGAAGTAACAGCATCTTGGCCAAATGAGGACACACTGGCTGCTTCAGTGGATCTCAAAGGGGCAGGAGCCTCTTCCACATCTGTCTGTGGTAATGATGGGCAGGTAGATAAGGACCTGGGTGATGAGCTCAGCCCTCCAGCTGCTACAGGACCGTGGGCAGAGGTCATGGCTGCACCCAGGGTCTCAGCCATGCATGACTCCTGCAGGCACAGCAAAGACTGTGCAGCACCAGGCAGGCCCTGCAAGGCAGTGCCTGTTAACCAACTCTGGCTCACATGAACAGAACAGGCGAGGGAGGGGCAGCTCGTATCTTACAATACAGTGAATACTCTCTTCCCAGGAAGGCAGGACCCCGGAGCTGCCTTTAAAGATGATAGAAATATTGTAAAGAAGATCACCATGTTTTTTTCCCCCTGCTTCCACCCTTCTGATGATTTTGTATTTTATTTTTAATTTACAAATAATAATTGTATATTTATGGGGTAGAGTGTGATGTTCTGATATATGTTTACAATGTAGACTGATTAAATTAGGCTACTAAACAAATCCATCACCTCATATACTTAGCATTTTTTGTGATGAAAACATTTAAAAGCTACTCTTTTAGGAATTGTAAAATATACAAGGCATTATTGTTTGTAATAGTCACCATTCTGTGCAATAGATGACCAAGGCTTATTCCTCCTAAGTGAAACTTTGTACCCTTTGATCAACATCTCTCCTTTGCCCATCTGCCCCACTCCCTAGCCTCTGGTAAACACCATTCTACTCTCTACTTCTATGAGTTCAACCTTTTTAGATTCCACATATGAGAGAGAGTATAAGGTATGTCATTCTGTGCCTGGCTTATTTCACTTAGCGTAATGTCTTCCAGGCTCATCCTTGTCACAAATAACAGAATGTCCCCGACCCCCCCTTTTAAGGCTGAATAGTATTCCATTGTGTGTGTGTGTGTGTATATATATCACATTTTTTTTAATCCATCCGTCTGATGAAGGACACCTAAGCTGCTTCCATTTCTTAGCTGTTGTGAATATTGCTGCAAAGATCATGAAAATGCAGACACCTCTTCTGCATACTGATTTCAGTTCCTTTGGATATATACCTAGAAGTGGGATTACTGGATCATGTGCTAAGTCTATCTTTAGTTTTCTGAGAAACCTCTGTACTATTTTCCATAATGGCTATATTAATTTACAGTCCCACCAAGAGTGTACAAGGGTTCTCTTTTCTCTATACCCTTGCCAACACTTATCTTTTGTCTTTTTGATAATAGCCATCCCAATCAGTGTGAGGCTATATATCATTGTGGTTTTAATTTGCAATTCTTAAATCTCTGTTTTGTAAGTAAGTGTCTTTACATGTTACTGCATTCAGCTACAAAGTCTCTAAGAAAAAGGAGGGAGAGAACTAATATTTGCTCTGCACCTATTTTGTGTAGCGGCTGGGCTAGGTGATTTCACACATAATGGCTCATTTAAGCTTCACCTCAATGCTCCACAGAATCCGACTACCACTTTTATAGAAGGAAACAAAAGCTCAGCTCAAGAGCAGGCTGGAGATCACACAGTGAGGATTCAAACACAGATCTGCCCAGTTCCATGCACTCTCCATTCCACCATAAGTGGTCATTTAAGGAACAGGGAGTTGGAGGATTAGGAAGGATTATTTAGCAGGTGTGAAGGTCTGAGACAGACAGACCTGTCTGTAGTCCCTGGGCTTAGATGGCTCAGAACCAGCTGGGCCTTCACATTCAAATACATTCTCATTATGAGTCTTGTCCTCTGGAAACTGACCAGGAAACTAACTCAGAGAAGCTACCGTCACTTGACCAACATGACACGGTAAGTGGCAGACTGAGGACTTGGGTTCAAGTCTTCAGGCCCCAAATCCAGGGTTCTTTCTACACCACTGCATTGCCCTATGCCTGTTGAAGTCTTGGCTGAGAAAGAACATGGTGGTTTCCAGTGGCCAAGGGGCTTGAAAGTGGCCACAGACTGGCTCCCCATGGTGCACTGACCCACTGTGACCTAACATGGAATCTGAGGATCCTAGTGAGCCAAAGGAGGGACTAGGAAAGACATCAGTTATCACCAGGATTCTGCACTCTCAATCACCCTGGTTGCCAGCCTTGCCCCATGCTGTCCATCACTCTGCAGTGGTGAATATGCAGTAGGGCTTGGGAAAGGTGGAGCTCTGGGAGCCACAGTGGGGGGGCATCCCTACTCGTCAGCAGAGAGGCGGCCTGCTCCAGGAAAAGTGCCTGACTCTGCGGACTGAGGTTCTAGGCCCAGTTTCTGCCACTTACTGGCGGGTAGCCTTAAGTATGTGACCAAGCCTCCCCTAGCCTCAGTTTCCTCATCTGCAAAATGGGAATCATATCCATGCTTACAGCCCCACAGGGCAGGACTGATTTGGATAGTAAGCCCAACATATAGATGGAGGGCCTTTTATGGTTGCTGTGACTGGGCTCAAGGGAGCATAAGCAGATCTGAGAGTGGACAAATGAGCATGAACCTGAAATTGTAAGGAATGCCGCACCAAGGCCTGAAAGGCAGGTCTTTACAGTCCCTCTGTGGGGCTGGTGACCAGTGCCCTCAACCTCCCTGGCCACACTTCCCTCAGCTGCAAAATGGGTGTAATAATAATACAATTCTACCTCACAGGATTTTTCTTTTCTTTTTGAGGACTGAGATATTTATATATAAAGTGCCTACCTAGCCTAGCACAAGGCACATAGTAGGTGCTGAATTTCTTTTGCATTGGAGGCTCTGAACCCCCTCCGTCTGAGCAGCTCATCTTTGACATGCTGGGCAGTAATGACTCACAGGGCCCCCTATGTGGGAAGAGGGGTGCAGGGGAGTTTTCTGGGTGACGGTGGTTAAGAATGCGAAATTCTGGCTCTGCTGCTTCCCAGTGGGAGAGTTTACATAACGACCAGCCTCTTGCACAGGATTAAATAATTTATAGACATGGGGTGCTCATTAGGAACAGTGACTAGCACAGAGGAAGTGTTCAATAGAATCCTAATGATTACTGTTACTGTTACCTGGTAGTCTTGACGACGGGAGTTGGTAGCACACAAGTGAGCTGCCAGCCATAGGCCGCCAGCGAGTTCAGCAGGGGCACGTAGTCTGTCTGCACTTCGACACCCTGGGGGAACAAGGCCAGCATTAGGGCTGCTGCTGCCACAAGCCAACTCCCAAGCAGTGCGAGGGGACTATTCCATCTGCTGATCCAGCAACGCAGAAAAGAAGTGGCGGTGCCCGGCCACTCAGAGGCTCCTGCTCCGATGCTTGCTGAAGATTTAAGTTTGGAGTCAAACTGCCAACATGGGATTTCTTTCTGGGCCCCATTTCAGTCTGTGATGTCAGCAAGGAATTAGAGCCAAAAGATTAATCCATTAATTTTGTTTGATTCTCATCTGGACAAATAGCCTTCTGTGAGTTTCACTGACGGAGCATAATTGTTGCGCCCCTGAGCGGTATCCAGGGCATGTAACTACACGTGCTGCTCTGGATGAGTTCAGAGTGTGTTGTGAGGAGTTCACTTACATTTGACAAATGATCAAGTCGTTTGTGTCCAGCCACAGTAGCAACTCACACATGCACATCCACATGTGTGTGCACACGCAGCAGCCGCTTTGCCTGTGTTATGTGCCCCGCCTTGCAGGGATAAATGAATGCTGCCATGTTTTATTTCAAATTAGGATGTGGGGGAACTAACATTTGTCTTTCAATTACAAAACTCAGCCCCCTGCTGGCACAGGGAGAGAGCCCTGATGTGAGGCCCCAGCACTGGCTTCCACCTCTGTAGGCATTCTCACTGCAACAGGCCTCATTTCTTCCTCTGGGCTCCTCACTAACACTGAAAGTATAGCCCCCACCCCTGCCCTGTGTGTAACTAGACTCCCCATCCCTCATAGTTTGGCTTCTTGTAGTTGGCTTCCAAAAATCTCAATCATGTATCCAGATTCCTTCCACCCTGTATGCCTACAAAGTTCATTTATCAGGTACTCTAGAGCCATGGTGGGTGCAAAGGCACGGCCCTGGCCCCTGGAGTTCACAGGCTAGCAGAGGCAACAGCACAAATATGCCAGCAACTGAAAACCTAAGGGCTCTCTGGCAGGGCCATGAGACTTTGAATGCCAGCAGAGGTGGGAGAGATCCCAGCCACAGTCCCAGCAGGCTTCCTGGGGCAAAAATTAGAAGGCAAAGCCAGGCCTAGAGTGCCAAGGTCTGTGGTCGGCTTAACTCAGAGGCAGCGCACACGACCATGGTCTGGAGTGCTCCACCCAGAAGGTGGCCATGTGTGGTGAGTGGCTATCCTGCTGGCGGCCCTTTGGGAACAAAACCAGCTCATCTGGATACCCTGGGTGAGTGGGATGGAAGGGAGACGACAAACAACCTACCTACCCTGCCTCTTCAAATGGCTTTTAAAGCTTCTATAACTGGACACCAGTTCCAGAGTGGCTACCAAGTCACCTGAACCCTTGGCGACTAACTTATCCCTCAGCAGCCTCAGTTTCCTCAGCTGTATAAAATGGGTACTGGCCTATGTCAGTGGTTCCCAAAGCATGGGCCCCGAGCCAGCAGCATCAGTATCACCTGGGAACTTGTTAGAAGCCCAGATTTTCAGGGCCCCATCCCAGACCTGATGAATCAGGAACTCTGGGAGTAGGGCCCCAGAATCTGTGTTTTAAAAAACCCTTCCCAGTAGTTCTGATACTGCTAAGTCGGAGAACAACTGCCTAGGTAATCATGTAGGTCCCTCCTGGCAAAAGAAAAGTCTGTAATTCTGTGGCCAGAATGTATCAGCTGTTGTCTCAAATCTAAGTGTTCCCATCATTCTCCATGTGAGAAAAAAAAATTTTTTTAAAGGATCAGCTCTGTTAGAAATTCTGCTGCACTGCAAGGGAATGGACGGAACAAGGGGAGAAAAGAAGGAAAGTGCTAAGGTTTGAATGTGTCCCCCAGAAAGTTTCCATGTGTTGAAAACTTAATCCCCAATGCAACAACATTGAATGGTGAGGCCTCATGGGAGTGTTTAGGTCAGAAGGGCTCCACTCTTGTGAATGGGTTAATACCAACTCAGGCAAAGGGCCTGAGGCTACAAGTGCAGTCTCCTGCTCTCTCCCCCATTCTCTGCCCCTCTGCCATGGGATGACGCAGCAAGAAGGCCCTCACAAGATGCCAGGCCCTCGACCTTGGACTTCCCAGCCTCCAGGACCAGGAGCCAAGAACTGTCTGTCCTTTATAAATTGCCTGATCTCAGGTATCCTGTTATAGTAGCACAAGTGGACTGAGACAGGGCAGAAATGGAGAAGGGGAAAGGGAAAAAGGAAACTTAGTAAAAGAAGGGGGAAAGGAGGAGGGAAGGGAGGAAAGGAGAGAGAGGTATAAGAATAATCTGTTTACAGGAGGGGCCAGGAGAGAATGCCATTCTGGTCCCTTCCCTGAAGCCCCTATCAGGCCAGAGATGGCCCAGCAGTTGTAACCATCCTTTCTGCCTGGCCTCTAGGCACACGCATGCCTCCCTTCCAGATGAGCACAGCCTGTATTCCTCCTGCTGCGTGCCATGCTCATCACTTGCTGAAGGAGCCCTGAGGTTGCTTTATCCTGAGAATCCCTGCCCCCATCCCCATATTCCCAGTTTAAAGAGAGGAGGAAAAACAATTTTAAATCCACACTCTCAAGCTTTGCGAGGTTATGATTACTTGGGCCTATCAAGAATAACCTTCCCACTTTATCAAGCGCTGTGACAACCCCGCCACAATCAGACAGTAGCCATGGCAACCAGGACAAGCTTTGGCGCCTCACAAAGCCCTGAGTGGCAGAATGGAGTCCTTTTATTGGTGGCTGCATCCTGGGCCGGGTTTTCTCTGTGGGCACCCAGAGCTGCGAGACAATGAACAACCCCTGCTGCAGCCCAACCCGCCTGCTTAGACAGACTGCAAACCGGCTGCTTCTATTTTGCTCCGTTTTATTTCATTTTGTCACTCTCTTAAAGAAAAAAAACAGCGGGATTTCTCCCAAACATTTTTTTCCCCTCAGGATAGGAGATGTCAGCCAGAGGGTACCGAATCATAAAGACCAAAAGCAAAAGGGAAAACACAACAAAACGTACCCCTGCTTGAGAGAGCTGAAGGTTCAATCTCACGTGTTAATTTCTGGCCATCACATGGTGCGTTGACAAGTAAAATACAAATGGTAGGGGTGAGATGTTGCACTCTGCCAGACTCTCCCACTCCAACTATCTGGGATGGTCTTGGCCTAATTAATGTTAAATGTGATTTTCCGTAAGCATCTATCATAGCCCTTTTGCATATTTATCAATATAGTAAAGAGATGGCATTTCTAAAATACGAGATGAGCCTGTCAGTGAAAGACACTTTTAAGTCCATTAGCTAAGAAAGGTGGTAGGAAACATATCCGGATGGAGGGCTTTCTTTGATCTGCTTTTTTGTGACACTCCAGTGAGGAGAGAAGAAAGCACCAACAGCACTCAAAAGCCAGCCTGCTTATCAAACAAAAAGACATTCTTTCTTTGAGTAGGAGCAAAAATTTTAATTAACTCTCCACTCTCCTGTGGTGGATACGTAATCTCCGATCACACCTGGAGTGTTAAAAAATGGAGCATATCCTGTGGTTTTTCAACTCGTATAAAAGGAATTCATTTGTATTTATGGCTCTTTTTTCCTTTGTTCCCTATAATTTCTCCAGTGATTGCAAATCAACTAAAGAAATAGACATCCTACACAACCTTTCTTTACCCTCCAAAAATTAGGACAACAGAATGTAGAGTTTACTAAGAAATGCATTTGTCTTTTGATCATTTTAAAGATCCTCCATGCAGGGAAATAATTAGGAATTCATAAATTGGTCCAGTGAGAAAGTTTGTATTCTGAATGTCAGTTTGCTCTTCTTTTCTCCTGTGTTTCTTCTGGGAAGCAATCTGGGAGAAAAGGAGTTTGAAAGAAAATATGTTGCTCTTTATACATGATTATAAATGAAGACAGGAATTTGATTTCCCTTGTCTGAAAGGTGCTTGACACTACGTCTGGGGTGGTCTCCATACCTGAAAACAGTGACTGGGGACAGTTTGCCTCTGTTCCTGACATCCACAGGATTGAGCCCTTGCCTTTCACCAGGTAGGGTGTGTAAGGAAGAGTTCTACAAAAACTACCTCTGCCTCTTTTGTAAAATTGCTACCAAAACACTAATGCCCATAAATTACTGGCAGGGTGTGCTTATACTACTCTTATTTTACTTATCAATTTTAGGTATCCTAATTTTCTACCATGGGAAATAAAGGTTTAGTGCTCCCATATACATTTCTTATTTCCTTTTTCTCTGTGCTTCAAATGGTTTTTTTGTAATTTAAAGTAAATCAAAAGTCAGTGTTTGTGTTATCACAGTTTTGCAAATATTGCTCAATGCTGGGTCAAATTATGCACTATGACCATGCCTTCTTTTTTATATAACCCTCTGTTTTTCCTGGAGTTAATTATTACCTCAATTTTTTTCATCTTCCTGGTTGTACATGAACCCATCACTAATTCATCCCACATGTTGCAATACCTCTATTTAATGCCCATCAATAAATATGCCAAGATCCTAAATACATTAGTTCCATTTTTCCCCACCGGCGACATCATTTCTGAACCCTTGCTCCAATCTGGTCTGGCTGCTTTCCATGCCTGGGTTCTTCCTAAATTAGCGTCTATGGCTAGTATGTTCTCTTTTTTTGGTTTCCTTCTCATTTTGCAGGAACACATCCTGTAGTGACTCTCTAGGCAACAATGCCCTAGAAGTCATCTGAATCTGTGCATTTCTAAAAATGCCTTTGTCTTAAATAACAGTTCAGGTACAGAAGTCTGGGCGGAAATTGATTTATCTGTCAAAATTTTGAAAGTACCTCTGGTAGCTTCTAGATGTCAGCAATGCTATTGAGATAATCTATTCTGATTACTAATACTCTAACTGTAACCTGTTGTGTTGCTGTGAAAGTTTTTAGGATTTTTTTTCTCCCCTAGAAATTCCAGAATTTCATGACAACGTGCTTTGGTGTGGGTTTTTACCCAAAGGATTGTTCACCTGATGGCCTTGCAATCTGAAGATTCTTGTCCTTCGGTTCTGAAAAGTGTTTTTTCC